AAAGAAAATCGTATGAGATAAATAGATCATCTATAATTGTGTGAATTGATATTTGATTTATCCGACTCGTTGAAATGTTGTACATTCGCTCGGCAAGCCTCGCGAATCTACACAATTTCAACTCGTTCGATAATCCAAATATCAATTCACACAATACAGATATCCTCTACGTATTCAGAATTAAAAATAGGTACATATGTACATGTAATAAATTTTTCTCACTTTACTACATACATTTATGCATAAAAATAAGCAATGTGCACTAGTGTGTATATATAAGCACTAGCCTGTTGTTTTTTTAAATTTGTGTGTAGAATTCTTATTTCAATTTCAAGAAAAAGTTTCTTTTTTTTTCTTTTTTTTTTTAAAGTACTTGAACACATTTTTATGCTCTTGGAAACAGGTACGACGGTACATATTTGTTTACGTTGTTTTATATATTTATTTGTCAATTTATTTATTGAAAATATTAATATTGTATTTAATGTTATTATGTTCCCCAAACGGAGTTTGGGAACATATTGTTTTTACTCTGTTTCTTATTATTATTATTATTATTATTATTATTCTTTTTTATTCTTATTTCTTCTCCGGTACTTTTTGTTCCGCGAGTGTTCTCGGAAACTGCTCATTCAATTGAGTTAATACCTTTTTAGAGTTAATAGGTATGTTGTGTAGATGTGCGGAACGAAGGTCATTTTGCGCGCACATGCATGCACGTGCGGGCGCGTGCAATGAGTGAAATGACTGACATAATTTATACAGCCGAAACTTTTACATTTTTTTATGAAATGCTTTGAAACTCATAACATAAGTATATATTAGTAGAGTTAACAAGATGAAATTGATGAATTAGCATGAACTCACGCGCATGCACGTGCGCTTCTCTCTGATTGGCTGAAACAAAAGTCTTAATATCTTCCTTGTTTTTTGACAAAATACTTTGAAATTTAAAACATAGTCATACATTAGAAGGTTCTACAATATAGTATATAAGAATTATCATGAAAACACGCGCATGCGCGTGTGCTGCAATCTGATTGGCTTAAACTTTAAATGGCTATATCTCTCTTGGTTCTCAACAAAACAGGATGAAATTTAGAATATAAATAGGTATAATGGATTCCTACATTATGCTACTATCAAAATTGAATTCAAGACCATGCATGCGCGTGCGCGCACGTGCAATGCGAAAAATGACCAATATAATTGATATAGCTGTAACTTCTATACTTTTTGTTGAAATGCTTTGATACTTACACTATAGACAGATACTAAGAGTGTAGAAAAGTTGATATGGTCAACATGCACATGCATGCACGTGCGCGCGAGTGCAATGCTAAAATGACCTATAAAATTGATATAGCTGCAACTTTTATACTTTTTGATGAAATGCTTCAATATTTATAATATAGAGAGATATTAATGGTGTTGACAAGATAGTTTGGTAAACATGCACATGCATGCACGTGCGCGCGCGTGCAATGCTAAAATAACCTATACACTTATATAACCGTAACTTTAATACTTTTCGATGAAGTGATTTAATATTCATTATATAAAAATATATTTATAGTGTAGACAAGATGATATGGTCAACACGCGCGTGCATGCAATGCTAAAATGACCTATATACTTGATTTAGCTGTAACATTTATAATATTTTATGAAATGCTTTGATACTCATTATATTAAGATATATTGATCATACAGACAAAATGGTGTGGTCATCCTGCACTTGCATGCACTTGCGCACGCATGAAATTCTAAAATAACTCATATGCCTGATATAGCCATAACTTAAAACATTTTTTGATGAAATGTTTTGACACTCAGAATATAAAGATGTATTAATAGTATAGACAAGATGACATGGTCAGCATGCACATGCATGCACGTGCGCGCTCGTGTAATGCGTAAAACAACCAATGTACTTGATTGCCTTATTTAATGAAACTTATTGGAAATAAGACACCAAAAGGAGGTTGGGGAGCGTTTGGGGAACATCTGTAACGGTCCCCGTTACAATTATAACTAGTTTCTTTTTGTTTTTATCATTTTAATTAAGTAATTAATTAATTTATTTATTTATTTTGTTCTTCCAATTTTTTGATTTATTCATGCGTGTGTGTATGTGATTAAAACATGATAAAAACAGAAATGAACTGTTAAAATAATGGCCGTTTAACATCAGTTCTTAAGATATGAAACCTTATATTTGATTAACTTTAAGAAAATCTTTTAAACAATTTAAAACCAAGATATTTCGGAGAAAACACTGAAAATATTATAAATTCTTTATTTTTGGTATTAAACTGAAATGAAATCTCCAAACTGCATCATTTTTCTTTTCGTAAATAAAACGTGCTTATCTATATCTCTGATTTGTTTAAATTGAAATAAGTTACTTGCATATTGCAATGCAATTAGCCAGCTGTTATCTGATTTTCCTTAATCTTTATTAAATGAGGGGAAACTTTAAACGAAACATGTAAAATTAATCAGTATTTGTTTCCTTATGCAATTTTATTGACAATTATTTTCCATGTGTGGACAAATGCTAAATTTTCTAAATAAAGTCCGCATCAGCAAACGTGTACTGTACAATAATACATTAATATAGACCATGATTTAGTAAATGTATAAATATTAAAACATTACACACTATTTAAGAACATTATAGGTCAGTACTTTGTATATGTAAGCCACAAGACCCAGTCTGACGTAAAGCTAATTCATGATAACGTCAAAAATATGGATTTTGAATTTTTATTACATGATCATACACAACCGCTACATTTTTTTATTATGCCACACTGCCAAGTGTATGCAACAATATTTATATACAGACGTCATTAATAGTGATATCCTATTTTCATCAAATAACAGTGTTTGTACTGTCTTCGAAATGTACACACCACTGAACAATCGTATATACCAATTTCAAATGAATGAATCAAATATATATTCCAAAAATTTCAAGTTGTTTGAATCAATATTTTGTCTTTGACGTCGTTTCAACCAAAATTAAACATTATTTTATGATTGAAGCTGTTCCGTTCGGATGGCTGACGTCGATTTTTCTATCAAATTTTGAAACACATTTCTTACGGCTTCACTGGCTGTATAATAACCGATACTAAAGATAGCAGAAAAGGACAATTTATTTGAGACACATTAAACATTTTTATCAACCTTTGAGTTTCTTTATAAAGAAAATTATCATTTTAATAATCAAAACACTTTTTCAAAACTTATGGTATTTTAACCCTGGGCCGTTCGTATTATCGGAGATCCTTTAACACCGCAATTTTTACAACAATATTTAGTTGAAACAATAAAAATCAAACTAGTCTGACTTGGATTTTCATAACAAGATTTTGGTATACAATAAGTATATCTAGAACGTCATTGTCCACGAACTCTATGGACAACACTTAATACATACATACATACATACATACATATATATATATATATATATATATATATATATATATATATATATATATATATATATATATATATATATATATATATATATACACTTTGTTTAACGATAACATTTAACGTTTAAATCAATATCTGATGTTTGTAAATAAACTTTTTACCTTACTGTATTCATTTTTGAATGATATCTTTAAACACATAACTTTAAAATATCCCCCTTCCGACCATTCAATTTCAGCGTGCTAGTCCGAAATGTACAACAATCGCAGCACGATTTTTATTATGCATTAGGTTTATCAATCTCTTGATTTGAGCGAAATAAATATTCTTAGGCATTTTTAAGTGCCTGTTTTTCAAATACTGAGGTCGAATTTTCTCTAACCTGGCGACATGTAGTAACCCTTGGACTTCCGGTCAAAGATGTGTCATTCATGCTTATGAAACGCATGAACCTGATGAGTCGTTATGTAGTGCATATTTGTATCTGCAACTCTCCTTTACCTTTATTTTGAGAATTTCCATCAAGAGCAATGAAAATGCGTGTTTTATTGTCATTTTGAGGAAATATTGGCATCACACAGGGAAAAGAAACAAAGATTTTTTTTTTTGGAATATTAGTGCTATACTTATGATTAACAGATACATACCCTTGAAAGCCCAAATTATTGCTAAATGTTTTATTAAACATGCAATTTTTGATTTCTGTTAAAAGGGTTCAAAATCAACTTCCGGTAATGGAATGAAAATCATTCAGCCGTTAAATTACTGAATTTGCAAAGTTGAAGATGTCCTAACTTTTTAAGTAGTACAAAGTTATAACCTGTATATAATTTTCCCCTTAAAATAAGGATATTGCGTTTATTTTGCGTTTCAGTATATATACAGAGATATTATAAACGGCTAGGAGGTGTATAAAATATATAGGTTGGTTAATGAATATGTCTAGAATTAAGGGGATGAAAGGTCGTTGATTGACCAATGCTGGAAAGTGGCGAAATACATTCCCAAAGTGCGCAGAAAATCTTGCGCCGTAAATTGCACTTTATTTACGTTACGGGATCTGTAGCGTTATGGTCAGAGACTAAAATATAAAAGCATAACCCTACAGGTCTGCTGCCGCAATACTCTTATCTCTTAAATGCTGATGTCGAGGTTAAAATAAAATATTTTTTACAAATTAAACCTTTATTGTAATATTTTTTAAAAAAAAAATATTTTAAAGAGGTTGGGTGATCAGCAACTCACCAAAGAGGTCCAACTTAAAATATAATTAAATAAAAATAAGCAAACATATAAAATATGATTTTTCTATCAATAAACTATTATTTAGAACTAAAAATTCCCCATTATTACAGCTACAAAATGTAATATAATTTCCTGAATCACGACTCATTCCTCCTAAATTTCTGCTGAGATAAGCAGTACAAGATATAAATACTCTAAATCATCACCATTAAAATGAAAAGAAATTCATCTTTCGTATCATTTTTATGATGTAAAATTACAAAAGAAATAGAATGAAACAAGAGTACATAGAATGACTTTTAGCTTTAGTTTTGAGGGATTTCTTCTTCTTCTTTCCATAAAGTAAAATCAATGTCGTTTTCAATAGATGAACATTTTACCTCAGGTGCTCTGAAAGGTAAACATTTTTTTAGTTCAGTTTTTTGTAATATGAATTCGGTTTATCTAATTTACCATTTAATCCTGTAATCAAATATCTTATTTTCTAGTACTCACCAATCTTAACTTACAACTTGGGTAAGTATACTAGAAAATTGTATGGCATTTTAAATAAAATCTGAAAGTACTTATAATACAAAATCATAAGTTTCAATTATTAAGACCAAACAATTTTGAAATATAATGAATATTTTCAAGAGACATTTTATCATATGTTTTTGAAATTTCGAGTTTAATACAGTAAGAAATAATATATAAACTTATATATATTATATATTAAAATATATAAACGTATCAAAAAGCAATTTAGAATTCTCTATAATCTTATACACTGTATACTGTCTGTTGATATTTCCTTATTTTTCCCAGTTATAATCAACGAACAGAAATCATCATATTATAGTCCACATAAGCAAAAAACATAATCGGAAAAATACCCTCTCAAATGCAAAACTTACCCATGTCTAAAAACTTCTTCCTGAACTTTTCCTATATTTGAATTTCTACAGAGAACTTGAGCAAGTGTCACATTTTTTATCTCATTAAGTTGTTCAATCGTAAACTTCGTATTTTCTTCATCATTTTCATAATAGAAGCGGTCGCCAAACTTTAGAGCTTTGAATTGTAGTGCAATAATACAGGCAAATGTTGGCCCAACAACTGCTCCCGGAAGTGGTTCTTCTGTCACCCCACCAGTAAATAGGTCAATATCCTCTACATGTCTGCGGAACACAAAATAATAATAAATTCATAGTAAACTATATACATGTAATATAGTAAATACTTAGTAAAACTTAGTTAATACTCTAAACAATTGCTTAGCTGCTAAATATACACCCTGTAGTTATCCAATTGAATTTTAGATTTACAGAAAGTAAACTAAATAAAATGTTTGTGCAAAGGGTACTGCAAAGATTGTCTAAATAACTGTTATTGATGCTACGATGTTTATGATTATATTTTCCGATTAGCGCTAGAATGTAACGCATATTAAATGTTATACAAACCGGAGATCATGACAGGTCTATACATATGTTTAATTAAATATTTGTGTACAAGAATTTGAGGGGAGAAGTTTTAAAGAATCTGCCTGGAAACATTTATCCTGTTTACTTATATTAGATAATATCAGTTTTACTTAGTATGTTTTCTGGTTGACTGTTGGTGGTAATATGTTTTTTTTTGTTTTGATTTTTTTTTTTTTTTTTTTTTTTTTTTTTTTTTTTTGTTTCTTGTTTGTGTTTTTTTTTTCTGGTTTTTTGTTTTTGTTTTTTTTGTTTGTTTGTTTTGTTTTTTTTTTTTTTGATAACGATATAGGAAATCATCTGAATGTCCAGCGATATGTTTTAAATGTATAACAATTTTCACACTATAAATATTTTCTTTTCAGGGAATGAATATATGTCAATCGTTGATATGAACAAAACAAGAAGAAAAAGGTGCTATCATACTCATAGACTTTCTTCAGACGACCAATCACATCTTTTGTGTGATCTATAAGGCCACAAAAACTATCTGATGTGGGCAGCTTGCACATTCTTCTGTACTCCATGTAACCAGGAACGCCATGGTCACGTCCTCTGTTGATATTGGTTGAGATGAGGTCATTCCCGGTTCCTGGTTTACCATGTTCTTCAAACAAATGATTGCTTACCTCCTCTGACTTGAATCTATAGAATAAGTATAAATTAAGGTTCATGATTTTTTAACTGCATTTAAAAATTTTGAAATATGTAGAAAGAGTGAGAAAGGAACAGAGAGAAAAAGAGAGAGAGAGAGAGAGAGAGAGAGAGAGAGAGAGAGAGAGAGAGAGAGAATGGAAAAGAGAAAGTGCCTAGTTATATAAATATGAACCCTTAGTTTCAAGCTCAGATGACCTAAATTGGTCATAGCCTGGATAATTCATGACATGACAATTTTCATATTTTTTTCTATATAAAATAGCTCTGATAATATACTAAGCGACTGGAATTTTTTTAATTGCTAAAGTACAGATTTTGTTATTTGATTTTATACCTTATCACCCTCATATTGGGTTTATGTCTAACAGTTGATTTGATACCCAAATGCTCTTCATACGAGTTTTAAAATGAGGCAAGCTATTTACCAACAAGTTGATAAAACAAGGATATCAACAGTCTCGTTTGAAGTCATCATTTCGCAAGTTCTATGGTTGATACAATGACCATACCAGCAAATACAATCTGTCATTAGGTCAAATGTTGACTGACTTTTTTCATACTAATTGTTAGGCCATTATTTACACACTGCAATTTATATAGATTTTTCCGTTTTCCCTGATCATGATAAGGAGCTCACGGCGGATGTGACTGGTCGACAGAGGATGCTTACTCCTCCATAGCACCTGATCCCGCCTCTGATGTTTTTGGAGGTCCATGTTTGCTCTGCTTCCGATTTGTATTATTTAAATGGACTATGAGCTTAAATACTGTTGTTATCTCCATATTTCATTATATTAATAACGAACTATAATTTACATTTTTATTTATTGTCACCATTATAACCATTAAGCTTTGAGGATTAGTTTCTGTAAAACATCTTCCACCACAGTCAATACGCTCTATAGATCTTCGTTCTAACCACCCGGCCACAAAAGTGACTCAGGGGTTAGAGTAATGTACCATATTTACATAAACATACCTGTCAACACTCTGCGAATGCTCATCATACAGTCCTCTTACGATTCTCTCAAACCCCTCTTCTTCATAAATATCGTCTGGATTAAGGAGCAATTTTCTCAGGGGAACCCTTTTGTTACTTCCATCTGACTTTCTGAACCCAAAATTGTCATTAATCATGCTATGTCCAAAACGAAATGCAGCCACCATAAAGCCGGCTCTTATCATCAACATCACCTTTGGGTCATAGCCTTTAAAGTACTTTCCGGGTGGCATTGGGTTGAGATCAAAGCGTTCCATAATTTCAGGGCCAAGTACCATGGGTAAGTATTCATTGTAAGTAATGTGTTGAAACTGAGCACCAACAATTCGTCTTGCCTCCTGAAATAATCTTTCATCATCCCAGTTGTTTAGCCCTTTCAGTATCCTGGCTATTCGATTATGTTGCCTAAGCCACACAGTGTGCTGCATGATCAAAGCAGCGTTTTGGTTAGCACGTCCATCACCTTAAGATAAAGTATGATTCAAATTTGAATACAAGCTCATAGCTATATCAAAATCATTAGGGATTGTTAATATGAACATTTACTAGGAAATAGTTTCAAAACTTCATTAAGTTTGAAGATTAAATAACAAATTTATAGATATGATGTAAAGACATATATTCTTAAAACAAAAAGAACATCGAAATCATACTTTTAAGACCAGTCTTAAAATTAATTATATGTTGTTAATTTTGAATTTATTGGGTGGAAATAAATACAAAATCATCATTATACTATATTGTAAATTCAATTTTTGCAACAGGATAAAACGTTAGCTGTATGCGTGTTAACACAGTTTATGACAGCTAACACAAATTGATCTAACCCCAATATAATGAGTAACTTAATATACTGGATATTCCATCCCAGCCAATAAATAATTAAATAACTAAACTAGGGACACCATCGGAATGACTATTGTGGTTGAAAAGAACTTTAACCCAGGTTTCCAGGAGTGAGCTCATTGTAGCCCTACATATCAAAATGAAGTTAAAGATCACCACACACTACAAAATTTATTCAAAATTATTTGGGCTACCTCTAGTATATGAGGACTTTACACACATAGAATCCACATACAGAACCATCTTTGAACATCTTAACCCAATAGGAATCATAAGACAAAAATTTATTTGCTAGCAAGCCGGATACAGGAATTTTTCGTGAGAGATGTCCATACCCATTCAAATGAATTTGACTCTGAAGAAAAGTGACCTTAAGCATTTTTTTTCATAGGTGATGGAAAAAAGGGTTGTATATTTTACAACTTCTCATGGCCAAGACGCTTTCTTTCATTTTATGAATCTTCTTACTACCTACGAGGGGTCCGTCCGTACCTTCTGGGAGATTAAAGATCAATATTGGGATTTCTTTAAACATTTAAAACGCTGACTATCGCAGAGAAATCAAACACCTCTGATCTCTATGACACTGGATCTTCTACTAGCTAGGATTGATATTTATTCATTCTATATACCGTATAGTGGATTTTTTAGCGGATGTAAAATTTGGCGTTTTGCTTTTCAAAGGCATGACAATTATTTTAGAGGAATTTTTTTGGCGGACGTACAGTTCCATGACGTTGTAAAAGAGAGGAAGTTCATCTTCTAAGGTGAGTTTTCAGGACGCTTAGTATACTTTTGAATATCGATGTAGACAAGAGTTTGAGTAAAAACCAACACTGTATAAAAGATATGTTTAACAACAGATTGACCAAAGTTATTTTACCTGTATTCGGTACTTAAGGATGAAAAGTTAGCGATTAAAATTTTAGCAGGTTACTTGAAACCGCTACAATAAGCCAAAATTAGCATCCCGCTAAAATTCCCGCTATACGGTATATCTCATCAGTGCTGAAAATTGATTATGTATACCAGAATGGAAACACTGAAATTTCTTAGGTATACAATCTTCCACATCGTCTGGAGCTGCAACAGGCATCAGTTCCAAGGCATCAACAGGATGACTTTGCACTCTTAATAACCCTACAATACACATATATAACATTTAACATTACAAGTACGTGCATTTAACAGGATAGTCTTGTACTCTAGTACCCTACAACGCACTTATTTTAAAGTAATTTTGCTTGAAGTATTCAAGATAATAATGCAAATCTATTCCTCTTTGTAAGGGAAATACATGTATATCAACATCTTCAGTTTAAAAACTAAATGCTTCAAAATACCAATTACCCGAAACGTTTGCTCTCAGATTTGGGTATTCTTTTGGACTAGAACCGTAAGTTGAGGACACGTCGATAGGCATTGTGTATTCTACTACTTGTTGCCGAGTTTCTGAATTGACAAAGAAAAGTATGAAAAAGAATAATATAAATGCTTCTGCGACCAACAAAAAAATTCGAGAAGAAGAAAAGGTGAGACACTCTACAATAGTTTTATTTGTTATGCTGTGTGATTCTTATAATGTAAATTGTGAGGCTTTAATTGTGGTCCTATCTTCGATTTTCTTTAGTTATTTGTTTATGTATCTATCCTTTTGGTTTTGTTCTCTGCTTTACATGTAGTTTAATTTTTTTAGAGGATGGTGATTCCTTTTGTGTTGTTTTGTTTTTTGTATATTTGAGTGTTGTTCTTTTCCTTTTGTTGTTGCTGTTGTTGTTGTTTCCTCCCTTAGTTTTTATCTTTCCTTCCTTCAAGTTACGTAATCAAGAGCAATCCTAAATGAGCACACTAAAATTTGTAGGGCCTATAAGTCCAACGGTTTTAACAAGAAACGATACACATGTAACATGATCTCTTAACAAAAAATTTTCTAATGTGAATTGTTTTCAATAAATTTACTTGTATGCCACTTTTATTGTCCCAGTGTTACACGATAAAAAACAATATTCTGAAATAATATGAACTTAGAATTAAATTTGGCAGGCAAGTCGAATTCAATATACAATGTATATTTTTACCAATACAGGGATACTGCGGAGATATGTCAAATATTTTGTATTTGGCTTTTTGATTAAATAAAGTACGTATAAAAACATTTCTTCAGTTGCACGGTAACATTGATATGCAGTGTGTGTTTATCTTTGGAATTTTAAGGATTTTTTTAAGTTAAGATATATAGTTTTTACTTTATTATTGATTTGAATCACATATATTGCATGTTTAAACGTTCGAACTTAGGACACTCTTAAAAGAACTTTTTCTTTTGTATATGTGTGAAACTGACAAGGGTGGTTTTCTTTTTTTGAATTTTTATTCTAAGTAGTCAAATTACAACACCCCTTTTATTGATAAAAATGCTCAGAATATTTACCAAAATTACAATGCAGGTCGGGGCTTGGCTGAGACCTAGCAAAGTTTAGACAAGTCACTCCAAACTGTCCAAAAAACGGATCGTTAGGACGTACATCAATGGGCATTATACAGTTCGGGTCATCTTTGTGAATTCCACAGCATTCCAGATCCTCACCATCGGGTGCTGAAATCGGACCATGCGTTATGGTGTAAAAAAAAATTGAAGGAATGTATCAGATTGATACTCGTATTTCCTTAAACAATTGCAAAGATTCTTGTTTGAATTTCAAATATCAAATTATTGCAAACAGTAGAGCAGAAATAATATTCTTGCCTTCCGCTTTTATGTTTTCTAACATATCATGACTGAGGAACTGTCCAAAGGCCATCCCAAAATGATTAATATTTTCCAGTCGATGCTTCGGGAGACTTTTCTCATGGATCTTCAGTCTGATTTCCCTTGGTTTCGGCAATAGTTTCCCAGATATACCTCTACTTCGAGGTGCTCCTTTACCTATTTACATGAATATTACATATTCTAAATTTTTAATTTGTTTCACTATGAAATTCAAATAATGATAAAAAGTTCTGAGAAAATTTTGATTTATGGCAAAGATCTTTCAAATAACATTTCAAGCACTGATTATGATTTAACTGCTCCATTACAAATACGCACCGTCTTCATATGCAGATGGCAGAAATCGAATTAAAGGAGTTTCAGCCTTTCCCCATATTGGATTTTCAAGATTATTGCAGCTTCCATCAATAGTTCTAAATTTAGAAGTCGCATTGCATTCGATTGTATCCAAGAACTCACATTCGTATTCCGGATCATCCGAACTCTTTATGCTGTGGCGCTTCCTTCGTATTCTGAAACAGTTGCACGCACCGTTTCCAAATTGATATCACACAAACATAAAAAATGCTTTATCATATATCAAATAAAAAAAAATATAGTAAGATGTATAAAAATTGAAAATACCCCATACTGACATTTTGTTATTAACCAACTGAATCTAAATTTTTGTCATAAAGGTTCATGATCAAATTCTTATTTTAACCTGCTCTGTATGTGTTGTACATGCAAAGAAAGCAAAGGTAATTTTTGTTGCTATAAATTTGTCAGGTCTAATTATTTTTTTTCATTGTATCAATATTTTCCCTTCTCTAACGATTAGATTATGCTTCATTAACTACGTCATTCTTTTTCATTGATCTTTTGAAATTTTGTAATGTTTAACGATAAGATGTTTATATTTTGAACAAACTCCCGCATATATAGAGGGTATTTAATGTTTTTTTGTTGAATATAGAAATTATTTCACCAGTGGAACAAAGTTTTATTTAATTTTTCTAACGCTTGTCTCTCTAGTGAAAAGAATTCTATATCCACCTTTAAAACATTCAATTTTCTTAAAATTATATCTACTACCCCCCCCCCCCCCCCCCCTTGTCACTGTCTTTTCAAAACGCAATGTGGTAGGCCGTGACGCCATAGCTAAGCGGTTACAGTACGTCATAGTTAAGAGATTGTATGGGTTTAAACAACAATCTAAAAAAACTTTTATAGTTTTAGTTCGTGTCGGTAAATGTTCATTTACTCTTGCTATCTATAAGGAGTATTTTCTATATAACACTCTTAAGGGAAGAAAAATTTCGAATTTTGCTGCAATTTCACATTTCAACTGGTTATAATATCACTTCTGATATTTGCACTGTGAAAATATCTCTTTCAAAAATATAACTTTTTTAACTTTTATTAAAGATATAATTTACAATATTTCAGCGTAGATGATGCAATAAATATGTGTATTCAATCATTCGATATGCTATATGATTAAGCTGAAGAATTATTAACATTTCTTTTTTTTTTTTAATTAAAGAAATAATTCAGTTTTCTGTGTAATAAAATTTAAAAAAGATAAAATTTAATCAAGTTTTAAAAATGAATATTATATAGATAAATATATATAAATAAATAAAACTTGCTCTTCTTATAACATTGGATTATTCATAAGCAGAATACATTTGTTCCCCAAATGTTATTGAAACACAATTCTTTTCGTAAAGAATAAACCGACAAATCATGCAATGCAAAATGAACAAATGAATCAACCAACCCTGTCAACTCTGAGGCGGACCTTTTCCGTCCTACAGGACTGTTGAACATAAGGTCATTATAGTTGAAATTTCCTTTGGCTGCCTTGGTCAACAGACGATGTTGATTTGGATTTGGTAAAACTCGCTTGTTTCCTTCCTTGTACCCACAGAAATTCAAACCTTTTGATAATTTTAATTTCAACTCAGCACTGAAAAAAAGATAATGAGTATACAATACGAAAGAAGAAAGTAACTTGTTTAAGTAAAATGTTCTTTACATTAATTTATATTTCTATTTATACGAAATATGAAGTTAACGAACAGTATTCAATCTCGAAAGTCCAATGAAACGATACAAATTTGGAGCAGAGCAAACACGGACCTCAAAATTTAGAGGTAGGATCAGGTGCCATTGAGGAGTGAGCATCCCCTGCCGACCGGTCACACCCGCCGTGTGCTCTTTTTCATGATCGAAAAAAAAACCCCGAAAAAATAGAATTAATTATCCACAATCAAAATACGCTTCAGATTAGGTACACTGAAATTATATTACAAAGCTAAATTGGTTTACTATTATAATAAAGAAAAACTATATAAAAAGATTTTAGTGTTCAATCTTGGCGATTTATTGAACGGTAGATTTCCATTACATATATGTTTCCCGAAACATTCTGAATGACAAATAATAAACAAACTTGGGATTGTTTTCTTGTCAACGGTAATAATAAGGTTTGATATTTTTTCTTGAAAAAAGATTGCAGAGTGAATAAAGTTGGATTTAACACTGGTAAAGGCAGTGCCGCAAACGTCCGTAAATCCTGCAATGTAATTTAGGAATATCGCAATGACGTACTGTAAATACTTTAGGGACAGTTGCTGATTGTGCACACTTTCGCTGCAGATACCAATACTAAACAATACTCATTAAAGGACTATAAAGCCCACAATCGCCCCCCCCCCCCTTTAAAAATTCAAACTTTGATAGAGAAATCCATAATAAGGTTGTAAACCAGAGGATAACCGCAGACTTGAAAGCATTACCTATTTTCATTAGTCATGACGTCTTATGTTAGATATGACGTACAAAGATTATGTAAATTCACAATTTCAATGATTTTGAGAGAAAAGAGTATAGAAAAACTATTTATACCTCCCCCCACCCCCCTCCCCCACCCCCTCCCCCACCCCCGCTTGAAAATCAGGGGCTGTATAATGATGGGGGGTGTCCGTCCGTCCGTCTATCTGTACGTCTGTCTGTCGGTCAGTTACGCTTTTGGGTACCCATGTTTTATCCGCAACTCCTCTTATACCACTGAATGAAATTTAATGAGACTTTCATAGAATCTTTGTAATATAATGTCATTGTGGCCTCCTATTTTACTTTTTGATCGGACTCATGTTTCGGATTTCTCACAGCAAAACATGGACACTGTCATTCTTTTTATAAAATTGAGGGGTACCCATTTCTTATCCTCAACTCCTCTTATACCACTGAATAAAATTTAATGATGCTTTCACAGAATCTTAATTAGATAGTGCCATTGTGCACCTCCTATTTTACATTTTGATCTGACACTTATTTCGGGTCTCTCATAGCAGAACATGGATTTTGCCATTATAATCAATTGTGAGGCGGGGGATCATGTTTTAGCTCAGCTCAAAATACCTTTAGTTTTCTGAATATGATAGATTGTTGAAAATGGACTCAAATCTGACCTGATTTTCAAAGGATGACAGTTAGAGTGGTCTTTCTTGTACTGTGACTTTGGAGGTCTTTCATTCTCAACGTCATACTTCCCACTACCTAATTTTCTTTCACCATTCTTTCCATAAGCATCGATGATACTGACACCCAAAAGGAATGTTGCGATTGAGAACCAAGCGGACTGAAATTAAAGACTTGTAGGAGAAGATTCAAAAAGAAATTATTCAAACTTTGAATAGCAAATTATACAATTATAGGCAAAATTACACACTAGTAGAAGCAAATAGAGAACCTTATTTGATTGGAAATTTAACGAAACTTAGATATACAGATACATGTACGTTTGAAATGCCATTAGAATGGAATTTTATACATTAAAACACACACATACATGTATATCAAGTAGAAAAGATGCAAGAGAGAATTATTTTTAGTCAACTTCTTATAATTTTTTAACCCAAAAAATCATACATTATGTGAATAGAATATAGGATAAAGATTATCAAAATAAGCTGGTCTATTTAATTTTTACAGTTCACTGGCGCATATTCCTTTTCTTGGTAAAGTATAAGCTAATTGCCTGAAGCCACGAACGTCAGGCAGGTTAAAGCAGCTTTACGTAGGAATTTATCTGATAACATTCATGTTCAATAACTAGCATTTAAAGAAATTTTTCTATCAACTTTTAAAATCAAACTTTAAAGAAATGTTAAATGTTTTTGAATTATGTTTTCCTTATCCTACTCATTCAATATAATGAACCTTGCATTGGAGCAGAACGGTCGTCAATTTATGTTAAAGCTATTGATTGTTTTAGTCAGACAAGCTTTTTGAAAAGTTACTTTCCTTTATTACTCGTATGAGGTTAAACATTTCTCTTGAGTCGCAAAGATCCGAATTGGTGGTAGGAATAGAAGGGGTCGACCTTCTCAATGGGGATAGGGTTGGGGAATCAGAGGATCATTTTCTGCGAATTTGAAGCTATCTTTGATTGTCATTTGACCAATAAACATAATACTAACATTGTCAGCATAATTTCAGTATATACCATGACATTACCACTTAACAAATTTAAGAATTTTTTACTTTGTTTTACTTTTATTGAGCATAATAAATATGGAAACTTCCATACTGAATTATCCAAATAGGAACCATTCTTTGTTTACGTTTATTTTCAACTACCCTAAAATTTCCAGAAATTCTAATCCTGGACTCATGTTCCTGTCTTTTTTTCAAATAGTCCGAATTCATGGTAACATTTGAATTTCAGCTTGAATAAATAAACCAGCTGTAGAAATCAATTTTTTACTAGATATAAAATTATTCAAACTCTGGATATTGGAAAGATATAGAAGTGCAGATTGCCAGAAATACTATTTTGCATTGGACGTTCAACAAAATATAATATGCATGATGTATGATAAACTTTTTCCTCTAATTTCAATCCACTATACATGCACTCTACGTATTTCTTTAAACCTTGAGAAAATAATGTGTACAGCATTTTTGTCAAGAAATTGAATATACACCTCTGCAGTTGAATATTATGTTTGATTTGTTTGATTTTATGAGCCGCGCTATTTTAGGGTTTTTTTTCTCGTTTAAATTTTAGTCTTAAATCTAAAAAATGAAATGAGTCTACACGTTCCTCACTTTGAGAAATTAATCTTTAAATGTGCTTAACTTCCACTTCTTGTTAACATAAGGAATATCGGGGCATAATTGTTTTTCTCTCAGAAAACGGAAATTTGAATGTTCTTGACTTCTTCTTTTTTTTTTTTTTTAAATAATATTAGATTTGATATGGTATCATGATTAATTTCACGTGATTCAAATTGAATATCGGCGAAAATGCTCAATTTTCTATTTGATTTAACGAAAACTTTAAAATACTACAAAAGGTTAAGTTTGAATTAATTATGATGTCACTTTAGATCTAGCACCGACGCGATTGTCTTGTCTCATTTACTAGATCTTGACGTTAAGTAAACTGTCGATTAGTTTAAGGAATATTTTAAAACTTTCAAAGAAAGAGGTACTAAACAAGAAAAGTAAGGGTTAACAAATTTTACCTTCATGACGGCAGACCCTCCCTGGACGTCAATGAAGTTTAGATTTCCATACTTGCATTTTATATATCTTTTATTGATTATATAAAAAACATTCAAAAGCTTTATTTAATAAAACAGTCACGAAAAGAATGTTATCTTTTTCGTTTATATCTACACACAAAATCTATTTTATAATGAGATGCATAGATTGAGAGGTATACTGATTTGTGCTTTATTTTCCTTATTTCCTTTAGTTTTTGAAATGCTAAAATTTATACTTAATTATCTTTCATGTTTTAAATCTAGTAGGTCATTCATATTCAAAGCAATTTTTTCATTCCGTTTATAACTTTAATACCAAAAAAAAAAAAATTTCACCAGACAAGTTTTAGCCCTCGAATATCTATTTCAAGTTTTTATATTTCATATTTTGAAGCCTTTGTCCTACCTTTAATATCATTTTTATAATTTTTTTTTACAAATCAAAATACCTGAGTAGGCATATATCTTTTTAAAATTCGAATTCATTTTTAAAAAGTCACAATTAATACAAATATTTTAGATGTATATATTTATATGTATAAAGAAAAAATACTAACTTTTCAAGAGAAATACAGCAAAGCAAAATTATCTTATTATTTATGTAACATTTTTTAAAGAAAAAAGAAGTGAAAAAATAAACAGGGTTGATGTATAGTCACTGAGCAAGTAGGAGTTATATCTGATTAGTTCATTAATTCATGAAACATGCATGACTGAGAAAGACATTTTCAAGTCAACATATCTTTTATATTTATGAAAACAAATTATAAAAAAAATTATATGATCTTTCAGTAATAATCTTCAAATCTTTCGAAGTAACAGATGAGTTTTATGGTGTATTTTTTTTTCTTTTCACTAGATGAAGAATGCAATAGAAGGAAAATAAAAAATCTACTGAAAAAAATATATAAATTGTTATCCTGTTGATTTTAAGGAAATCCCTTCGGAACATTTCAAAATTCCGAATTCTTATAGCGTACATGATTGACTGAAAAATGTTTTATAACCATAGAATTTAGAAGTGAATTCAATAACAAAATAATACGACAGATGGATGATGGGACTGAAGCTACTGAGAACAGACTCAAGTCATGTTCAAAGAGTTGCAGCTTTATTCAAATAGTATGCGACAAACACATACCTTTACGGTTACATAAAGGTATGAATTAAGTAACATCAACAGGAAAAAAGGATATGTTGCCCATCTTATACTTTAATTGTAATAAGAATTTGGCACACTTACAGCTTAATAAGATAAAAAAAAAAAACAATCACGAAACTAGGAAATACACGACTGTTCATTAAGAAAAAGAAATGGGAGGATGTAAAAGGTCTAGGATAGGTAACACATTGAAACTAGATATAGGACAAATATATTAGGTATGGCACTGTCATCAATGTTTGTTGAGAATATTTTAACTGCTTTAAAAATATATGTCTTACAAATGCATTTCTTTCCTTGACCTGTTTTGCTTTATTGATTTATTACCAAATACAAAGGAAATCTGATTTAAATCAGATTTTTGAAACTAATAAACTCTAAAATTCTGATGGTCGCTGAACAGATTAATCCGATTTTATTGAGTGGATGCTTGTTATTGATAAATTTTACATGAATTGATCATGTTGATGTTACATAATCGCAAATGTATACTCTGTTGAGTATATTAAATACACTGCCTATCTATTTTAAAGTAAAAGAAATGTACTTTGAATTAGAAAGTGAACTATATCGGATGAAGCTTATATATAAGTCGAGTTTTAAAAAGATCTGTATGAAAGAGTCAAAAAGGTTTAAAACAAGAATATATTAATGGTAAGATTTTTACTTAATAAGCCGTTTAAGATTTTTTTTATATATAAATGTGGTTCAAAAGAACTTTTTTCTCTTTCCTTTCACAAATATTTAACACAGAAAAATCAGTTCATACCAAAAAATCAAGTCATGCCTAAATTCATTTTAAAAAAAACTATGAAAGAGTCTGTTAGCTAATTAGTGAAGATAACAGTGATTGATCTCAAAAAAACTACAAACAATATAAATCTGTGAACAGGGCATAAAATACCGACCTCGGAAATTCCAGGGTTGGATCAGGTACCTAGGAGGAGTAAGCATCCCCTATTGACGGTCATACTAGCCTTGAGCGAATAAAGTATTCTTTCCTGTATTTTTTATATGTCAAAATTTGATTCCCTAATGTGACCCCACCCTACTCCATGGGGCCATGATTTGAATACCTTGAATCTGCACTATCTGCATAACACGGTCCTTTTGCTTTTTAGAAGGAGAATTTGAATTTTTTTCCCAATATATCATGGCCCCACTCTACTGCGGGGCCATGATGTGAACATTACCTGATGTTGAATGCTTATCATCCCCTGTTGTTCTTGAAAAGAAGAATGATAAACAGTTTTCCTGCATACATTATGTAAAAATTGATACCCAATTTTTGACCCACCATTACTTCAGGATACATAATATTTAAAAAATGAATTTACACCACTTTGGAATGTTTGCCTTGCATATCAATATGATTTAGTGTGGCCTGCTACCTGCTGAAAGGCCTTTTTTAAAATTCCTGTTTACATGTAACATAAATGAACTGTTCTACCGGATGATTCTTGTATATAAATCTCATTTGCCTTGGTCCTGAGTTTTTGATTGTAAGCATTTTCCCCATACATATATGTGGGCATGACAATCAATCCAGAGACTTAGTATTAGTTTTCTTAGTTCAACTCAGAAGTGTTAAAGGTATTTCATACTGGGTGATGATGCTCAGTATCTCAGTATTTTCATGTCACTAGTTAAGTATATCAATTTATTTAAAACACTGGTTTTCATAAGTATATGATTTAAGTATAGAGGTCCAGTGGTGTCATCAATATATTTTTAAAGGTCTTCCAATTTCTTGCTTTTTTCATCTTTTTCATAAACTTCTTATTCATTCATTGAGATTATTGTTATTCACATACCTAGCTGCCAATTAAATTATATATCAAAACTATATATCTACTCATTTTCAATTTTGAAACAATACTTTTTCTTAAAATTTAAGTATTATTTTTTATCATTTACAAAGCTTAATTATTAATTACAACTGTAATAAATTTAAACAGCTTTAAACAGTGTTTTCATTTAGCATTGACAGTAATTCAGAAATCCCCTAACCTTCTTTTCTTATAATATGGCATTGGCACAAGTCTAACTCATGAAGATAAAAACAAGTAAAAACCTTAATTCAAACATTAGTACATATAAATTATCAAAAAGGTTCCCTTTTAAGATAAAAACAAGTAAAAACCTTAATTCAAACAATAATACATATAATTTATCAAAAAGGTCCCTTTTTACCACAAAACGCAATCATTGTAATCTCCGTTATCAGAAATACAAAACTTGAGTGTAACAAGAGATGATTTCTCCTCTTGTACGGTGAATAGGTACATGATTTTATCTGATTTATTATAATAAATTCAAAGGAAATGTTTATTTAGATAAAAGATTTCTTCAGTCTGTATAATTCCTTAATTAGTATGTATTTTCCTCAGGCTATACAATCAAGAATGACATCAAATTGGTTTTACAAAATCGATCTTCATATCCCTTTTGCTATACACTGAAGCTAACTTTTTCTATCTCTTTATTCAAAAACATCGGATATTTTCTCATTCTAAGAAATTCACAATGAATGAAATCGAATCTTAAAAATTTAATTTCATTTACAAAATTATACTAAATGGCAAGAAATATCGTCTTCAAATGTAATTGTGAAATAATTTGTAATTATTGCATGGGTTTATCTAACTTTTCGAGATTGATTAATTGATTGAATGCTGTTTAACGTCCCATTCGAGAACTTTTCACTCAAAAAGAGACCATCATCATATACCGAAGAAGGGCTTCAAATTAAGTCCTATACTAGGTGCTCAGGGCTATTGAGCAGTGAGGGTTCTTTATCATGCCAACACCTACCGTGACAGGGGACCTCAGTTTTTTCAGGTTTCTTCCAAAGGACTCGTGACTTTCACTTCTAGTTCCGGGCGCCTGGCGAAGGGACAGTCACTAACTATGTTTAATTCTTAGGTTTTGACGCGGGGCGGCGAACAAGAATCGACCCCCCCCCCCCCCCCGATCACGACGCAAATGCCCTATCACTATTCTACCGTGACCGGTTAACTTTTCGAAAAAAAAAAGTAGAATTAATCTTTTCAAAGTTCTACACAGAAACATCAAAGTAAAAAGACGAAAAAATGATAAAGAGTGTTCTTCCTAGAATCACAAGTAGGGAAAATCTGCTAATATTCTTACATATGTATGTATGCCTTACAAGTGTATGTACCTACATGTGTATTTGGGTCTTGCATGTGTATTTGGGTCTTAAATGTTTATGAAGACCTTACATGTGTATATAGTCATTACATGTATATGTATCTTACATGTGTATGTAGCCCTTACATGTGTATATGTACCTACTTGTGTATTTGGGTCTTACATGTGTATATGTACCTACTTGTGTATTTGGGTCTTACATGTGCATGTACCTTACATGTGTTTGTATGCCTTATATGTGTATGTATGCTTTACCTATGTATGTATGCCTTATCTGTATGTATGCCTTACCTATGTATGTATACCTTACCTATGTATGTATGCCTTACCTATGTATGTATGCCTTACCTATGTATGTATGCCTTGCCTGTGTATGTATACCTTACCTATGTATGTATACCTTATCTGTGTATTCATGCCTTACCTGTGTATGTATGCCTTACCTATGTATGTATGCCTTACCTATGTATGTATGCCTTACCTATGTATGTATACCTTATATGTATGTATGCCTTACCTATGTATGTATACCTTACCTATGTAGTATGCCTTACCTATGTATGTATGCCTTACCTATGTATGTATGCCTTACCTATGTATGTATGCCTTACCTATGTATGTATACCTTATCTGTGTATGTATGCCTTACCTG